CGGCGGCCGCTGGTAGGGGTTGGGGGAGGGGGTGGGTTTAATTTTTTTTTTAAATATTAATTAAGTAATTAATTAAATTAATTGATTAGTTATTTAAAAGAGAACCAATTGCAACATGCCACGTGGCATAATTGATCTTAATGACTAACGGTGTTAACCGCCGTTAGTCATTAAGGGCATTTGGTGACATTTTTCTTAAACTCAGGAGTATTTGGTGTATTTGAAAGTTTTGATGGGTATTTGATGAATAAAAAAATTACTCAGGGGCATTTCATGAAATTTCCGTTTTTTTCATTATTTTTTTTTACAAAATGTTTGTTTTTAAGGTCATGGTCTAGCAAATATATGAATATATGATACTCATGTTCATTTTTAATAAATGATCATTTTTTTTATAACACAACAAAATAAAGCAAAGGTAACAGTGCAAAACCATTGCCTAATATAAAACCACTACAACAAAATAAATGATCACGTTCACTTTTTAGTATTACAAGTTCATTTTTTTCATGTTCATTTTTTTAAACTAAATGTTCATTTTATAAAGCCACTACAACAAAATAAAGCAAAGGTAATAGTGCAAAACCATTGCCTAATGTAAAAAAAAAAAGTGTTGCCTTGTAGCTAAGGCAACACATATAAGGCGTAATATATGCCCCCGTTGTCTATTCATAAAGCAACACATTTTTATTCAAATTCAAAGTCATAAAATGAGTTCTCCACCAACTCCACTAAACTTGCTTATATATATATATATATATATATATATATATATATATATATATATTGTTATCTTTTCATGCAACAATTATTATGTTTGTTGTCTTAGACAAGAAAAAGGTAACACTTTCGACTGTTGTCTTATATAGTCTAGAACAACAATTCTGTTACTTTTGTTCAAGTAACAATAAATTGTTGCGTTAGATTATTAAGAGTAACTTTTCTGTAAGTGTTGCAATCTTAAGTGTTGCCTATTCTCATTTTTTTTTGTAGTGAGAGTGAAGTTGATTTGGGCGGGTCACGAAAATAATATCTAGGTTATTTGATTTGAGCCGCGCGTTTGGGCATTTCCTTGTTGTAGCTATAATAGCTACATTAGTATATAGCCATTGATTCTCCTACTCCCATAGAAATGTAGTTGGTGGATCTTAAACTTGTGATCTCAAAGTCACAAAGTGAGCCTATTCTGATTTTTTGAGTTGAACTGAACTAAACTGAACTAAATTGTTTATGAGATAAGGAAATTAGGAACTGAACTGAACTGATTGGAGTTGAACTAAACTGAAATTAAGCGGAAGAGAACAGGCCGTGAGTTCCCCACTAACTCCACCAAGATTTGCTTAATTATTCTCATTTAATTTGTATACTTTGTATTAAAAATGTATGCTATCTATTTAGGACAATATTTTAGAGAAGAAGTATGGGCGCATAGGGCCTATGTGCCAATAAAACAATTAGGATGACATTTTTGTGAATAATGGGAATATGAGAAAGAAACAATAGTAGAAAATTTGATGACAAAAAGTACCATTACATGATATATTAAATTTACCATTATGCCATTAAGAGAGAGAAAAAATACTACGTAGTAAAAACCCTAGATTGTTCTTCTATGCACATGTAAAACACATAGGCCTTATACATCTAGATACTGATACACTAGCTAGCTCTATTCTAGATTGGCAGTGGAACAATGTGAAATCAAATTCCAAGAGAGAGCTCTCAAAGTGTGAGAATTCTCCTACTTTTCCAACCATTCCTATATTGCACTTTTGCCACTAATCCGAGAAGAGTTGACATAAGAGAGATTTTGGTTTGATAATGCCTTCTTTAAAAATAGTAAACTTTGCCATTTTTTTTTTTTATTATTTTTCTTTTTGAGGAAAAACTTTGCCAATTTAATAAGGGCAAAGAGAGTAGAATTGTCATTCATTGTTCTCCGGTAAGATTTGAGATGGTCAATAGCTACTGCTGCTGCTTCGACGCTTAGTGCTATCATTGCACATCAAAAAAACAAAAAAAAAAGTGTAGATTTCATTTCAAGACCAAAGTTAGCGAAAATCTAGAAAATATGCTAAAGTTTGATCATATACTTTGTTTTAAAAAAAAAAAAAAAAAAAAAAAAAAAACCACTATGGATGATTTCATGTTTGTTTGATCTTATCTAAACTTATTAGCCCTTATTATAACTTATTTTAGTTAAAAATTGAACTTGGGATAGCCATGATTAACCTTATGGTCCTTATCACAACTTATCTAAACTTTTTTTCATGAACTTATCTTATCTAAACTTATTAACCTTTATATGAACTTATTTTTCATAAAATAAGTAGAAATAAGGTGAACATAATAGAGCCTTAATGCATTATTATGACTATTAAAATCTTTATAATTATACTTTTGTAAAAATTATATAAATTGATATTAGTGCGCAAAGACGAATCAAACTAGATTCCACATTGCTATGTTTTACCTTATGAATAAATCATAAAAGGTGGTAATTAAAGAAAATTATAGAATAATATAAAAGTCCTAATGATTAAATAAAAGAAAGCGGAAAAAAAAGTATTTCATTATAACAAAACTTAGGGCTTGTTCTCATTGACTGAACTCAGCTGAACTGAACTGAACTGAACTGGACTGAACTGAACTGAACTGAACTGAACTGAATATTTTATAAGAGAAGGAAATTAGGAGCTGAACTGAACTGAACTGAGTTGAACTGAACTGAACTGAACTGAATTTCAACGTATGATAACAGACCCTTAATTATATACGAGCATCATATAGGCTTTCAAACTCATTTTCTCTATAATAATGCTAATTTTATCCGAATTTATATTTATATTGTCCAGATAAATTTAATTTGTCATAAATAAGTCAAGAATAAGCATTGGACTTGTTTAACATCTATATCTATACTCAGTACTATTTAAAAACACAAACCCCATTTGGCACATGTCTTCCATTCTTTCTTTATTTTGTTATACAAAGTAATAATTTACCACATGTCATTTTCTTTTACATTTTTTTTTATAATCCTTTTAGTCTATTGGTCTTCATTATATATGCCATTAGTTATTGACTTAGGGCCTGTTCTGATTTACTAAAATGAGCTGAACTGAACTGAATATTTTATTGTAAAACTTTTTCATCTTCCCCCATTTAATGTACTAATATTTAATTCATTAACAAAGTTTTCAAAGTTCAAATATTTGCTATGAGGCAAAAATTAAGGGATGGAGTAATATTTAATTACTTGTGTATGAAAATAAGGTCAAATTAGTGTATCACCATGCATAAAAAGTTTAATTGTGTTAATTATTTTAGGACAGAAAAAGTACTCCGTATGTGACAGAGCCACGGAAGTACAATATATGTACTCTGTAGTTTAGTAATGAATCTCATACTCCATTCGTCCCTTATTGAAATTCCCTTTTGCCTAAATTTTAGTCTCAAAATGTTCACCCCATTTGTTTTTTCCAACAACCATTAATATTAATATTTTTACCAAAATTCCGTCCAATTTACAACAATATTTGTGCAAATTTAACTTTTCCATGTAAATTTTATTTTTCCATATACTTTAATTACTTTTTCTCTCTACTTTTTTTACATACCCAATGTAAATTTATCTTTTCAATGTACTTTATTATTTACGTTTATTAATTCTAGAAAAAATTGTCTATAAAGGACTATCAATGAAGGACGGAGGGAGTAGTATTATCTTGGTAAAAAGAAGCATCTTATCCCCGAATCCTTATTAAATGTGTAGAAAGAAATTACCATACAAGTTGTAACTTGTATGGATAACAATACAAGTATATGAAAACATCATAATCCCCATACAATATTCATAAATACTAAGGGGCCGTTTGGTTCGCCCAAGGGAATCGGAATGGAATGAAGAAAGGTAATTAAAGAGAATGGAATGAAACCCATTCTTTTTAACATGTTTGTTTTAAAAAAAAAACCCCAAGAATCACACCACCACACAACCGCAACACCTCCAATTTCAACACAACAGCAACCCACAGCCTAGCCACCGCCACTCCCGCCGTCGTTGCCCCTGCCTCGATGTTCGCCGCCCTTCTTCGCCGCCCCTCCCGTCCTTGAAAAACCACCCCCTCCCAATCTCCCATCACGCAAAAACCCTCCCTCTCCCCTCAAAATTGTCGGCCGCCATTACCCCCACCCTTCTAGGGTTTCGAGGGTGGGGGTGGTTTTTCGAGAACGAGAGGGGCGGCGAGGGTCAAGGCAAGGGAGGGGTGGAGAAGGAGTGACGATGTCCGACGACCATGGGGGGAGGAGCAACGATCTCCGGCGACGATCTACGTGCGACCAAAGGCAGCGGCTGATGAGGATCGTCGTCGAGGGAGATCGGTCATTCGGCGGCGATGACGGCGACGGTGGAGCAGCGATGAATAGGGAGAGGCAGTAAGGTGGATGGACGGTGGGGTAGGGCAGCAAGGTGGTGGTTGGTGGTGTAGTGGTGATGAGGGGAATGGGAATGCAAAAGGGGAGGGGGGGGGGTGGCGAATGGGTGTAGAGGGAAAATGGGTGAACCCAAAAATAAAAAGGGGTAAAGGGAATGGGGAAATGTGGCAAACAAACAAATAACAAAGGGAATGAAACCCTCTCATTCCCATTCCCTTTGTTTATCACTCCCAACCAAACGCCCCCTGAATAAAATATGTATAACAATGAAAAAAACTCACAGTTTAAATAAATACTTGAAATTAAGTATTTTTTTTTTGAGAACTTGAAATTAAGTACATAAGTATTAATTGGTCTTGTATGGACCTGATCTACAATAAATTATTGTAGACCCAAAATTTGACACTTTCAAATAATATAATCACATTCTGGATGATATAATCACTTATTTAGATGATATAATTATCTTTTTGTGAGTCATATTTTGATCTCATATTAAACCATTTAATGAGATTATATAATTATCGTTAGGATGATAAAATTTAAAAATCATCTTTTGAATGATGTAATTTACTATTTGATACTTTTTATAATGATAAATTCACTTTTTGAGTGATACATTTACATAATAGTTTCAAGATGATATAATCACTTTTGTAATAATATAATCACATTTCGTATGATATAATCACATTCGTATGATATACTAGAAGGTTGGGTCTACAATAAGTTATTGTAAAACGGGTCTATTCTAGTCTTAATATATAAGTATAACAACGAAAAAAAAAAAAACTCAGTTTGAATAAATAAAAGCGTAGAAAAAAAAAAGTATAGTACAAAATAAGTAAAGAGACAAAAGAACAAATAAAAACAAGGGGCTCATGAACAACATTACATTACTCCATAACCTTACCCCTTCTACCATCACCAGCATCTATTATTATTATTATTTCTTATTTTATTTTCCCCCATTTTTATTTATTTATTTATTTATATTTTTATTAATAATTTTCCCTTTTTTTCAATCAGTGAATGAATCACTACAATACTAGTTCGTTCTTCTTCTAATCACCAGAATTCACACTTCCCAACATCACAAATCACAATCTCTCCTTTTGCCACTTCAATTTCATCTTAAGCACTTTCTCTCTCCTCCCCAAACCAAATAACCTAACTTCCATTTTCTCTCTCCTACTCTCTTACATAATCCCCTTATTTTTCAGGTTGATGTTTTTTCCATTTATGTTCTTATGATGGACGAGATTTACGGCCTTCATCCGACGGCTGCTGATTATTCTGATAAAGCCTTGATGTCGCCGGAAAATCTTATCCTGCCGTCGGATTACCATTCCTTCGTTATGAATTCCGGCAGCGCCGCCGCTGTCCGATTCGGCTCCGATGAGCTGATCTCGGCTACTTGTATTTCCGAGTCGGCTTCTGAGATGCATCAACGAGGTGATGACACGTCTTCCTCTATTAAGGCTAAGATCGCCTCTCATCCTCACTATCCTCGCCTTCTTCTGTCCTATATTGACTGCCATAAGGTGTAATTTCATCTATCTTTTAGAATTTCATTTAGTAATTTGATCAGTATTTTATGCGACAGCGCAGTTAACACTGCGCTGTCGCATAAAATACTGAAGATTCTTGTGCGACAACAGTCCACTGCTGCTGTTGTCGCACAAGAATCACGGAAAGAAAAAAAATAAAAATGTTAATTTGAATTTGTGATATAGGTGGGAGCGCCGCCGGAAGTAGCGAGCATACTGGAGGAACTCAAGCAAGAAAACGACATTTATAGAAGAGAAGTTGTAGGAGTAGGAGGAGGAGGGAGAAGTACTACGTGCATAGGAATGGATCCTGAGCTTGATGAATTCATGGTCCCCTACTAAAAACGCCCTTTTTTATTTTTGTTCTTTGGATTATGTTAGTTAGTTAATAGTAGTAGGAGTATATGGTTTTTGACTTTATTTGGAAAACATATTATATTATTTATTCAGGAGACTTACTGTGAGATATTGGACAAGTATAAGTCAGATCTTTCAAGACCCTTCGACGAAGCCACAAACTTCTTAAACAAAATTGAGACTCAGCTCCGGAATCTCTGCAAGGGAGCCTTTGTTAAGACCGCCTCTGCTGGTATAGTTTTCTCTCTTATTGTTAATAATTTGTATATTAAATTTAATGTCAGTGTATAATATATAGGAGTATATTGTTTAGCTTAGCTTCATTGAGCTTTGTGCACTAATGATTGTTCTTCTGTTGGTTTTCCTATAGTTTTACTCTATAAAGTAAACAAAATAAAAAAACCCCAAAACAAAAAACTTTATTTTTTGGTGTTATAGGACTTTCAACTAGTCTTATAAAAACCCTAGTAATGGGTAGACAGTAGATAGTGTTCATCTCTTTATTCTTGTTTGTTGTTACATACATTTAAGTCGTTCATGTGTAGATTATTAGCCTCGTGTACATGTGATCGTCTCATATGTTGCTCGTACGAGTCGTAACGAGTTTAAGTGTAGCTGAAATCATCTTATATATATGGGCTGGGTGTTGTAATTAGATGTTCTTTTGTTAGCAGTTGAATCACTAATCCTTTCACCTTAATTACTTTATTATCTTCCTTTTGGGATGTATTTCTTTTCTTCTTTTACATTGAGTTATCTGAGTTTTGTGTCAGATATAAGAGGGAGAGGAGAAGAAAACTGAACACTGAAAAGATTGAGACTTGCACGGTTAAGAGATTCTGAATTTGACATTTCAGATGAAATATATACTGGAGTAGTAGTAGTGATGAAAACAGTTGATAGCAGAATTATTTTTTACCAGCCTTAAGAGTTCTCTTTAGCAGTACTACTAAAATCAGCTAGTTTTTGTCATTCCCTAAGTAAACTGTAGTCGTGTGGAAGCCTGTAAAAGTTCAGAAAATGTAGGCCCAATTCTTACCAATGTTCATTATATTTCTATGATCTTTCTTTATTATTTCCTCCCGGTTTTTTCTCCAAAGTTTTTGAGGTAAAATAATTCATCTGGCAGTTTGCAAAACATTCAAAATGGAGTAAATGTCATGGGGTTCGGATCACGACGTGTATTTGTTGTGTCAATTTATGTCAATCTTATTAATGTCTCTTTTTTTGGAACTCGTATTTGACACGGGTGCGTGTCCACTACAAATCTCTCGTTTTTGCACCAAGATGTTTGTTTGGAGTGTCCGTATAACCAGTGTCCATGTTAAGGTGTCAAGGATCCGATATGAATGGATTTAAGAAACAACCAATTTTTGCATTTTACACCTTAATTGTTCATGATTTTTCTATGATCACTATAACAAACTCGAATGTTAGGGTGAGTTGATTTGTATATCATGTACTGCATGTTCACATCTTATTATGTGGATACACATAGGGAAATCTTGCTAGTTGATAATTGAAGTGTGACTAGTATGATAATCTTTTAGATATAGAAACCTTAAATGTTAATGTTGATACTTGTCAAAACCTTTTCAACTTCTTGTTTGACTCGAAATTCTTTGCACTTGCATAGTTGCATGCCATTAATTGTAAGATCATATGAGATTTGTTAGTTGCATTATTTAGCTTATTGTATCCCTTACAGAATGTGGTTGTCAAAAAACAAAATTTGAATTTCTCAAACTCCTTAAATTAATTTTGGCAAACTTTTTCCTAGTTTCATTATAATATTGTGTAGGCTTTGACATTAACTTAAAATAGCTTTTCTTCTGCCATGAGATAGCCAGCATTTATTCCGAAAGCAAATAAGTGGATGGAGAAGGCCTTGGTGGGGGAGGGGAGAGGGGTTGTGGATCAATCATCCTGAAGGGGGGAAAAAAAAGCTTCCTATCATATTAAGCCTTAGAAAAGCTTGCTATAAAGAGTCGATAATATAATACAGTAGTGTAGACATAATTGGCTATTTGAATATGTATTGCATATATGTTTTTATTATTTATAATTGAATCTCATTGTTGCCTTTGATAATGCCTTGCCTTGTAACTTTCAAAGGGCTTCAAGTTCCAATGGTGCATGAGAGTTCTTTATTGCAGCTAATAATAGGTGGAATTGGGCATCAGGAATTGCCTGCTTTGGACTGCTTTTCTTTTTTAAATTTGTTTTTTGGGCTTATATAGGATTTTTAACTTAAGGATTATCTTCTTGTCATCATAAGGAATAAAGGAAATCTGATCAGATTGTGTGATTTATTTTACGAGAAGTGGTAATTAGGTAGTTGTGTTGCCACCAATTCTCTATCTATAGGATAATAAGAAAATTATCTTAAACAAAGATTCGCATATGATCTATCTTGATAATTTGCTTGCATGGACAGTCAGCACTTTGTAAAAGATTTGTGTAATTGTGCTATGGTGTGTTGTATCTCTTCAGTGATATGCTTTCTTTGACTTGCAAAATGTCTTTTTCTTTGATCCTTTTTGAACTTTAAGATCTCTACCATGCTATGTGTTTGATTGTGTTGCTGTTTAAAATAATTAATTCTGATGATGATTAGGAAGACCAAGTACCGGTGGCATTTGTTGTTAAGCATACTTTGTAGATAATTACTCGACTTTTTAAACCCGATTCTATGATTAATGGAAGTACAAAGATGTGTTTTTATTAACATCCCTTGTCAGGGAAAAAAGCTGCAACCATTTCCATTTGTTATATTGTCGTGTTTTCCAACTTTGTGGGCTTAATTGCTTATACTTTTAAAATAATGTATACTTAAAACATTTCTCATGCTTTAATTATTCAAAGGCAGATTGAATTTAATCTTAAATCATGTTTGGAAACTATATTTTCTTAATTGAAAGTACAAACTAACTTTTTGGCCCTCTAATCTGATCTGTTGATTTGTTCCATGTGGTCTGTTTTATCTTAATCCTGTGCTTAAGTGAATGAATTCTTAATTGTTTTTCATCTGATTGAGATTCTCATCACCACATGCGCATACCCACTTGGATGAGTTTTGACATATACCACATGCTTACCTTGTACTTTCCATTTAAGACATATATAGTGATTATGCGATTACTTTCGTTTGGCACAGATTTGGCTGTGGAAAGGTTTAATTATTAATTAACTTGTAATATTCGCCACTGACCACATTGTTGGAGCTTTAATTCTTTTATGATATGCATATGTTCCTAATGTCTATATTTTTATCTATGACTAAGTTTGTACTACTACTATTCTTGGTAACTTCTACTTAGCCGAAATAAAAGGGTTTTATTTCTTAATCTAAAGCTGTGGTAATCGTTTCATAATTAGCTTTTGCTAAAGTGATACAAAGTTCTCCACATGATGGATTTAGAGGCAATATGTGATGCTTCCCCTAAAAAAAATTTGCTTCTTTGTTTTCTGGCTTGCAGAACCAACCTTGGAATGTCTTGGAATTTTGATGGATCATGTAGTTGAGGAGATTATATTTTTCTTATAGCCATTAGATCACTAGCTTGCTTGAAAATTTTAGCTTTTTTTTTATTCTCCTCTGTGAATTCTTATTGCTTGCTCTAATCAGAAGTTTGAAAGCTTATAGCATGGTGTTGGGTTATCCATAAGTTAATGGCTGTTCAGGCATGGCCGATAATCATCTACTCTCTAAAGTTATTAAGAAAGTTAGTTATAAGGTGTAACCTAGTTTCATTATATTTATGTTGTATCTCAAGCTGTTGTGTTTTCTCAATTTTGGTAATATGTAGGGATTAATTTGTGCCAACGATGCTTAGTTTAGATGATTTATGCATGCCTCCTTTTCACGGTATGTTGTGTGCATTTCTTGTGTGATACTTGGAGTCTTTAATATGTTGCTATCATGGTGCATTGTATGCTTTCTATTTTTTTTTTATTTCAAGTCAATTTTTTTTTTCTATGTATACTTATTGAATAAGATAGGAAACCTCTTTGTTGATTTCTTTTTCATGAAATGGACATCAAATTTTGCCTCCTTATTGGTCTTTAGGAATCCCTCTCGCTTTGCCTACCTAAGAAATTTGCTTTATTCTTGATTGGCCAATATGCTATTTCCATGTTTTTGAATTTCATAATTCTTTAGTGCAACATTGGAAGTTTGGGAAAATTAGACTGGTAAATGGAGTGTCTTTAACATGTACTCCCTTTCGGTACGACAGGTGATTCGGAGACAATAAGGGAGTCCTCTCAAGAACAAGGCTCACTTGAAGGTATTAGCATTATGTTATGGATTGGGTTAAAGAGTAGTATGCTTTAAAATTTTAAGAAAATTTCTAACATCATGTGATTGTCATTGCAAGCTTAATTTGAAAATCCGTTTAGCAGAAACCTTAGGGAGAGTTGATAGGCACTTGAGTAACTTAACCGTGGTTGGTACTTGGTAGTAGAATGCCTACATTTCGACACATGCTACGTTTTAGTATGTTTGAGCTGTGACCTATTAGAAGGGAGCAATTCTTAAATTATTTTGCTTGTCTAGTTGTGGTGCGAATGAATATCAGAAAAATGCTTGATCTTTACGCGTAGGATTCTTATCCTAGGTTTTTTAGTAACTAGTATCCCAAAAGGTCATCTATTAAGAGAATTCCTGCTTAAGATTAGTGTAAAATGAGAGTGAGATGACTTATAAAGATGAGACGAGATTTATTGTGTGGGAGCTGAGGTTTAAATAGGAGTATGGATCGATTTAGGCTGCCTTCTTGTACTCTCATTATCTAACAAATTCGTTGATAGATTCTTTTGGACTATTTTACACTGTACTTCCATGAACTGTATTATTTGCTAGCAAGGTTAATCAGGGAAATACCAGGTCTGACTTCATGGTACTCCGTAGTATATTTGTTTTCAAAGCATACACTTCATGTGTCATAATTAAATAAAATTCGTTCCTTCAAATAGAAAAAATCCCAAGTTTTAATCGTTCCCTTTAAGCTCTTGTTATCCATATTGGTAGTAAATTTCTAATCTATTAATGATGGACCAAGTATGTGTTACATTGTTGCTGTACGCTTAACTGCGAAGCTATTACTCACCCGATTAGGACAGGACTGATGTTTGTACTGTTATGTTACTCATATGCTATTTTAAGTTAAGAAACGAGATACATATCGGGTTATGGAGTATGGACCTGCAAAAACGATAGTTGTCGTCGTTGTTATTGTCGTCGTTAGTCCTTGACAAACTATATATAGGGAAAAATAGGAGCATGAAATAATTGGTAGGGGGAAAGGATGATATAGTATAGTTTGGGTGGGGGCTTAAAAACTCACATCATCACATGGAGACTCCCGGAGTTTACGCTGAAAAATGAGAAAAAAAAGCAGCTTTTAAATGCAAGAAAATAGAAACACTAAGTTATCTCTTTGTTAGGGGTTTATTGGTTGGAATGTCATTTTCTCTTTCTTTTTTATTTTTTTTTAAAAAAAATCTTTTCAGTGGTATGCTTAGTTTCTGTGATGAAGGGTCAGTTTTAGATGTATGCATTTGCAGAGTTTTCTCTAGTTAAGACGCTACATACGTGTTTATGGAGGATTCAGATTTCTTGGGTCCCGCTTGTTTTTGACTCTGTTGTGTGCACTTCTTTCTCCTCTATATTACCGAGTACTCTTTGATCCTTTTTGTTCTCCCCGTTTTCGATTAGGAATGTTTAAAGATTCGTTAATTTTTTCTTTTAAATGCATCACTTAGTGATTTGAAAAAATGTTTTACTTTTGTACAGAATATTTGGTAATTTTATATAGAGTTATTATTTTTCTCACTTTAAAGCCCTATAATATTTGATCATTTCTCTACTATCATCCCCACTTAAATGATTAAAATAATTACTCTCTTTCTCACTATCCCTTTCATGATCCCATTATACTTTTATTAAAACTATTTAAACATCAATTTGTCTACTTTAAAAATATATAATACGAATAATAGAGTACATGAATTCTCCTAAAATTCGTTTAAAAAAAATAAAATTGTAGGGAGTACTATTTAAGATCTTTTTATTAAATTTTTTTCCTCTCAAGTCTTATCCATATAAAATAATTATCTATACGGAATGTAATTTCATATAAAAAAAAAAAAAAAAAAAAAACAGAAATATAGTTTTCCAGTAATTGAATTTTCTCATGCATACGTGTTTCCGGAGAATACAGTGTGGGTGGGTCAGACTTGTTTTAAGTGTGTGCACTTGTTTTTTCCATTGTATTCGTAAGAGTGTATGAGTAATGACCCTACTAGTCTTACTGTTTGTTGTATTTGCCTACTACTCTACTAGGCTTTTTTCTGTTTATCTCTTTGTCTCTCTTCATTATGTTATGTGCGCTTTGATTGTTGTTTTGAGTTCGTTCTTTCTTTCTTTGTTTGGGTACTTGACTAATTGACTAGTTGGGGTTCGACAACAATGGGGTATGATAGAAGGTTCATGTTTTGATATTAATTGAGCATGAGGTAGTTGAGGACTTTAGGTTGGTGATTGGTGAGCGAACGTGGGGGTGTGTCCCGCCTTTTATGATATAGGAAGTATATAATAAGTTCCGTGATCCATCTACCACTAATCTAGTTATGGTTCTAACAATCTAACCCTCTGTTTCATAATGTTCGACGAAATAACATTTTTGACAAACCCCTATGTTGTTACCATACCGAACCCTATCCTTAAGATCACATACACAACAGTCAATTAGGATAACTTAAAATTATTTTAAGACAAAATAAGTTCAACATCGAGTGTGTAGCGCATCATGAGTATTTTGTTCTCATTCTAATAATTGTTTTTTATGTATTCATCAAATGAAGCGTAAAAACTAACCTTGTGTTAATTGTGTGCATACAACAATTGAAATTAATAAGAGTATTTTACTCCGGATAAGGATGTAGTGACTTATATTAAAATTCCTAGACTTGGTTAAGTGGTTGTTTATGATTAAGGTATTGCTCTGTGCACTAGAATTTCCAGTATCTTAATTTATTACTCCATAACTATAAACTTATCATGTCTGAACTTATTAACCCTTATATTATTATATATTTGAGTTCATCAACCTTTATCATACCTTATTTATTTTATTAAAAGTTGTTAGACCCTTATATAAGATTTTATTAACACTAATCTTATTTGAACTTCTTAATCTAGTCTTATTTGAAGATAGTCCTTTATACTTTCTCCATTTTTTTCTTGATAGATTTGTCTCGGTTTATACTATTTTTATTCTCCGTATCAATTTTTTTTTTTAATAATTTTTACATATACGAACTAGAAAAGTGTTGCAACTTGCAAGTATTTTTTTTTAAAAAAAGAATATGAACTTATTTGTGTTTTTTTTTTGGGGAGATTGTTTCGTGTAATCTTGAGATTTTGAAAAATTCACTGTGTACCCATGACAACTTTCAAATGCTTCGTGTACTCATGACAACTTTCAAATGCACCATGTACCCTAATGTTGTAAAAACTTGCACCAAATACCCTAATCGTTTAAAAAATGCACATATAATTGATTTATCAAACTAAAATCATGCTATCAAACCAACTCACTTTTAGTAATTTTTATTTATGCAGAAAAACCGCCTAAAAGTATAAATTACATTAAAATTTGAACTCCATCTATCATTCTAAATCCCAAACTTCTTGGTGTTAAAATTTAATTTATTAATTAAGGGCCTGTTTTCTTCAGCTTAATTTTAGTTCAGTTCATCATTTCAGTTCAGCTCCAATTAGTTCATTTCAGTTTAGTTTCTAATTTACTTTTCTTATAAACAAGTCATTTCAGCTCTATTCAGTTTAGCTTAGCTCTAATCAGTTCAGTTTAGTTCAGCTCCAATTAGTTCAGTAAATCAAAAAGGCCTTAAGTTTACTTGATAATTAAATGTTTTAGCATAAAAGTAACGGTACACCGTCATAATTTAATAGAATTTGATGCTTAGGGGGTCTCAATTTAACAAAATTAACATTTGTTATGAATCTAGGGGTATTTGTGCATATTTATATTAACCTTATGGGTACACGATGCATTTTTTTTAAACCTTCTGGTTACACGGAATAATTTTTTTTTTTTAAAATGAACTTATTAACTCTTGTTTTATTTTATACTTTATGAACTTATTAGACTTAGGCCCAGTTCACTTCATCTTAAAAAATCATATTAATTAAAAATAATTCCACTTCAGTAAAAATAAGTTCAGTTTAGTAAAATTAATTTTAGTTTAGTAAAAATAATTTCAGTTAAGTAAAAATAAGTTTAATTTTGTAAAATTCAGAATCAGTAAAAATAATTTCAGTTCAGTAAAATTAATTTTAGTTCAGTAAAAATAATTTAAGTTCAGCAAATATAATTTTGTTTCAGTAAAATTAATTTTAGTTCAGCAAAAATAAGGGGAAGTGAATGGGGCCTTAGATGATGTTTTAGTTGGCAGAAGAAAGTATGAATATTGAAAGATCAGTATTAAAAATGAAAGATCATATTCCCTCCGTGTTTTTTTAAGTGTTACAGTTTGACCGACACAGAGTTTTAGGCTATTTAATTGACTTAAATAAAATAAGAGGCAAGTAAGGTAGTAGGAGTATTAAAAAATTGTAATAGAAAAATAGCAGGGTTAATAGTTTTTTGGAAAAGTAGTAGTGGATTTGGGTGGGATCATGTGAGGAGAGAGATATAATATTTTAATATAGTTTTTTGCCAAAAAAAGAAGTGTAACACTTAAAAAAACACGGCTTGAAAAGTGTAATACTTAAAAAAACACGGAAGGAGTAGGAATTGTAACTAGGAAGAGTTGTTTGGTTGAAAAAAAATGGTGAAGTGAGGGAATTAGAAAATTCTGGGAATTTTCACTTTCCACAACTGTAGGAATTTATTTACCTAGTTTCCCCTAGGTTAATAGAAATTTCTCTTCCCACATTTCAAATCTAACAAAATCCCATGAATTTAAAGCTCGTTCCCATAAATTTCAATTTAACATGAATTGCTACGGCTATGTCCATAAACCAAATATTAAATAAGATAGGAGAATCGAATTTGAGGCTAAATTCAATAGGAGGAAGTTCTTGATGTTGGTCCAATTAGGTTTTAGGTCTACTTGTATTGTTGCTTTGGGCTTAATTATAATTACAGTACATCGGGCATGTCAAAACAAAAATGTGGTCAATGTTGATCCAATATTGATTGTTTGTGATCTTATGGGTCTAAAACTCACAAAGTCGAAAGATAACATGTTCAATTGGTCCATGATTTTGCCGCTAAATAATCATAAACACGAATAAATAAGTTTGAACAGCTTCAGATAGATAAAAATGTTCCCTCCGTCTCACAAATATTGTCCGTAAGACCCCGTAAGGTTCAATTCGACAAGTTTTAGTGAGTCGGAAAGAGCATGGTGAACGGAGTATCCCTAGGGCATGATTGAAGGAAGAAGCAGATGACAATGACAAGAGTTTATTAAGCTTAAAACAAGTAGATTATCCTTTTCCTCGTATCTTATGTTAGTTGGACGGACTATATCACTGTTTATATTCTTCACCTTCTCTAAATATTCATGGGCCTGTGGGGCCCATTAAGGTCTTGGGGTAGGGGTAGGGGTGGGTCCCATAATCTGACAAAGTATCAGCGTGCCTTACGGGGATTTGACTGCCCTTTCTTTTTTGTCCATTTTTTTTGTTTTCATTTTTATTTTTGAAAATTGCAAGTTTTGATTTGTGCAGCTTCTGAGTGTGCCGTCTTGTCCATTCTGATTTGGGAAAGGACTTGGCTATGACCTTTTTTACCATCTTCTGTCCACTACCTTTCTCTATCTCTTTCTAACCTTCATAAACTATCCTTTTTATTATAATATTTTTCTTTATTTTCCAATTTTTGGCATGTAGGAGAAGCTTTTTCTTTGTTCCCTTTGGTAATCCTTTCGTTTTTTAATACAGTATTTTCTCTGTTTCTATTTAGTTAACACATTTAATTTAGGCACACGTATTAATGAGAGAAGAGAGAATGAGGGAAAATGATATAACAAGTGGGGTTCAATAGTAAATATAAGAGAAAAAGCTAATAAAAAATAAACTTTCTAAAAAGTGTCAATTAAAAAAAAAAAATGGTAGATAAGTATTTGCCTTATAGCTCTTTTTTTTTTTTACAAGGGGTTGGTGACTTGGTGTTGGATAGATAGTTTTATTCGTTAGTATGTGAGGTAGGAAATAAAGTGGAGAATGATATTGAATCTGTAAGGACAATGTTAAATATGAAATAAAACGATTGGATAAATTATTAGAAAGAATATTGGGGCAATATTTTTGGGATGGAAGGATTATTATGTAGCTACTTTCATTAAGGGTCTGTTCTCTTCATATTATTTTCAATTCAGTTCTTAATTTCATTCTTTCATAAAATATTCAATTCGGTTCAATTCAGCTCCAATAAGGACTTGTTCTTTTCATATTATTTTCAGTTCAGTTCATTTCTTAATTTCCTTCTCTCATAAAGTATTCAATTCCGTTCAGTTCAATTAGAACAAGCTCTAAGTTCAGTTCAATTCAGTCAATCAGAACATACCATAAGTCTAGTTTTCTCAAACTCTTGCTTCATATCCTATCTAATGTGGATCCTCCCACCCACTAACAATATTCTAGTTTCTATTGTTAATTTCCCTTCACTCTATATACATCGATATTTTTTTTTTACCAAGCATGCAAAATGAATGACAAAAAAGTTATACCACTTCCAAATCTTAATACTTGGAACACTTTGATTTTTACATTATTCACATACTTTACAACTTTGATTATATATGGTGATTAATAAGCTACGAAGAACAGTCACAAGATTTTGTAAGATTTATGCTATAATATTTGATACTTATTGAAAATTAAAGATATCAATGATTATAATAGTGCATTCAATCTATCAATTAAAGCCTTAATCCCATTAGTGGGCTACATGAATCAAAACTAATTATTCCGTATATTCATCCACAAAAATCTTCCTCCTTTTACGATTCAATGCCTCATTTCATGTAAATCCATATACTTCTATATCCTTCTTAACTCTTTCCAATCAAGTCATGTCCTTCCTAACTCCTTTAAACCAAGTCATATCCTTCCCAATGATTATAATAGTGCATTAACAAAAAAAGTGAAAGTTAAGCAAGTACTCCGTATGTTGAAATGGAAGAAGTATAGTATTAGCTTTAAATGGACTTAATTAGTAAAGCGTTGGATCAAATGATGTGAAATAACGATGTGAAGGTTATGGAAACTTTTTTTCCTTGTATTTTGTAAGTAGATGCTTGACTTTGAAAAAAAGAATTCATTTGTTAATAAGATTATTAGTGGTAATGCATTGTATTTCAATCAAATAAACTTTTTTTACAAGGCCAAAAACCTCTAGCGTGTCAAAATAATTGGAACTCGGGAAGTTTCATGGAGTAGATCTTTGTAGGGTATACAATTTATAAAAACATGGTGATTTTGCTATTAAGTTCAGTTGTAATTATTTGGTGTCTGAAGTGGAATAAAGGTTCCCTTTGAAGGAGGATAGAATCAAAGCTGACAGTCCTCGACCCCTCTTTCATTGTCTCCCTTATGTTACAAAATTTGTTGTGCATTACTCCATACATGTCTGTGCAGTATGATGCAGCTGAATTAATTGTGAAGTTCCTCTATTGTACTCAATGTTTACCAAGATCGAACAAGTAAAAGATGTGTAGGCTCTTATAGATTGCAATCTGTTAATCGCAGATGTGCTATGACTCTATAAGCCCTCGTAATAACATCAGATTGCAAGCAAGCCGTCTTGCAAGATACTTGACGTTTTTGTTGCTATTAATTATTAGCAGTTTGTTAATATAAGGAACAAATATGTATTACTTGGTATTTTATTATTCTTGTGTCTGACTAATTGGCTAATTGCTAAAAAGTTTGAAAATTGATTGTTTTGTTGAGACGTTGATAATGCATGTAAGTCGATTAGGTTGATTTTAGAAGTCTTGCCTAGATAATAATAACACCGTGGTGCAATTCATTATAGATAACGCCTTCATTACAGTTTGATGGCTCAACACCATTCCATGATTTTTTTTTTCTCATGAACTTATTTATTTCTATGTTACCAGAGGAAGGTCCTGTGTCATCAGATGAGGATTATAGTGCAGGAGAGGTAGATGTACAGGATCTGCAGCCAAAGGATGAAGAGCGGGATCTCAAGGATCAGCTTCTACGTAAATTTGGGAGTCATATAAGCAGTCTCAAACTTGAATTTTCCAAGAAAAAGAAGAAAGGGAAGCTACCAAGGGAAGCAAGGCAGATGCTTTTTGAGTGGTGGAATGCTCACTATAAATGGCCATATCCTACTGTGAGTACCATACAGCCCGTTTTCTCCTAACCTCTAATTTGTTTCGCGTGTATAATCCTTAATGTTAATAGTAAACCTAGTGGCTAACGACCTAATGTTACAAGATGTAAGTTTTAGTAGCTTTTGTTTTGTTCTTCTAGTTCTTCATTGTGGTACATTGCAAAATGCCTTGGTGGGATTTATGATGGATGTTATTGTCATTGTTGTGGTTTGTTAAGAAGATAACTTCGAGATAAATGACAATCTAACCCCAGTATTACTAGTAACTGATTGTCTCATTTGTTGCGATGCCACTAGATCAAGGCTTCACTAGGAGGAAGTGCAAGTGTATCTTGAAGACCGGAATTTAACCCCTTAATATTCACTTAAACCCTCCTTTTTTCCGAAATAATGTTAAACTACTTATAAAAACATACCCTTAAAAGACTGAGTGACATTGAGAGTAGATTTCTCCCAACATACAACCTATAATTGCTACCTTCAAAAGAACTGAATCTTAACTTCAGGTTCTGCCTATTTGTTTATTTGTCTGATTTTATATGATGCATGTATGTTCGTATCATTTCTCATCCTTTGGCTTTTGCTACGCAGGAAGCTGATAAAATTGCACTAGCTGAAATGACCGGTCTTGATCAAAGGCAAATCAACAATTGGTTCATAAACCAACGAAAGCGTCATTGGAAACCATCTGAGAACATGCAATACGCGCTCATGGAAAATTACTCCGGACAATACTTCACAGATGACTAAGGATGTATGATGGCAACAAACAAGTCCATCTACAGACCAAACACTTCACACGAAAATCATAATTATTCTGGCTGCTTATGTATATGTGATTATGTGCTAATGGCAATTTACCGATATGAGAAACACGCTTTAGGTTCATTTTGGACGATGGAGGAAGCATATACACCCCCTCCGCCATTTGCATTCTCATTGCAATGTAAACCAAACGATGTACTACTAATGTATCCTCATAAAATGAAATGGCTAATTTCATTAGAATCCTTATTCATGGTCACGTTACTCGCATAAATTGCTTTTATCTGCTCATTAATAATAAGAAACTGCTAAATACAACACTTTGGATTGGTAGACGCGTGATTTTGTCATATATTTTTAAATTGATACGGAGTACTATTTTAGAAAATCTGTTAAATGCTTGTATGCAAGTGGGGAAGATATCTGAATGTACTACGGAGTATTTTTAGACTGAATGACTGAGCCACTGGGTCAAGAGGATTTTAGAAGTGGTCATCAACTCAAGTGGGGAAGATATCTGAATGACTGAGCCACTGGCCCAAGAATATTTGCTCAAGTTATCTAAAAGCCCAAAATTTGTAACAAAAGCCCAACTTTCCTGAAGGTCTAATTTGTTCTCAATCCCCAAAGGGTAGAAATGTAGAATCTCAATTTTTATTTTTTATTTTTAATTTTATATAATAATGCAATGATTTAATTTGAGGGTAATGATATATGTATTCCTTGGACTATATAAAAACATTAAATATACTTTCTAAAATGGAATGGGAATTCATGATAAAATCACGTGTAAATCGGTGTTATTAATGTTAATTTATCTTCAATATTTCCTCTTTTAGTTTCTTATACATGGAGCATTAAAATACTTACCTTTTTTATTATTAAGTTGAGAATTTATCGATAATTCACGAGTAAATCAGTGTAATAAATTTGTTTATTATTTTTTCTTTCCATTTTTAGTCTTTTTCCTTAATTTATATTGTAATGATTTAATTAGAAATACAACTGACTCCCCCCCCCCCCCTTTTTTTTTGAGTGAATACTAGGGGTGAACATGGTCTGGTTTGGTGTGGTTTGAGTCTAAACCAAACCAAACTGCAAAATATGGTTTGGTCAATTTTCCAAACCAAACCAAACCATATTAGTATTGAAACCAAACCAAACCAAACCGTAATAATGCGGTTTGGTTTGCGATTTATGATTAGACGACATTTTTTCCAAAAAATTGTCATATATTATTAAATTTATAATAAAGTTCAAATAATTAGCCCAAAGAGATTAAATTTTACTATAAATTTTTAATAAAAATAACAACCAACTAATCAAGTGCTAAGTGCTAACACAATAACACATAATAAAAATAATACATAACAAATTAACAGTGGAAAAAAACATAATACATTTGTCCAAAAAAATTATTCATACTACATCATACTACATTATAGTTATATGACCTATTGAATTTTAAGTATTGATATTTGAGATTGAGTATAGAGTATAGTAGTATACTGACCGTATAGTCTTCTAATGATTTTTTTTTTTAATAATATATAATAACTATTTTAATTTATTTAAAAATTACATAAATATTAAAATGCGGTTTACTGGTTTACGGTTTGGTTTGGTTTATAATGTTTGAAAAACCAAACCAAACCGCAAACCGTATTTCCCAAAAAAATCGAAACCAAACCGTATTTTTGCAAACCGTAAACCAAACCAAATCGCTAAAATGCGGTTTGGTCTGGTTTGGTTACGGTTCAGACCAAACTGTGTACAACCCTAGTGAATACAACTGACTCCACTTAATTATGTTTTATCATAACTATAAATCACAAAAATTAATTAGAAATACAACTGACTCCACTTGATTATTTTTTCTTTCCATTTTTAGTCTTTTTCCTTAATTTATATTGTAATGATTTAATTAGAAATACAACTGACTCCTTTTTTTTTGAGTGAATACAACTGACTACACTTGATTATGTTTTATCATAACTATAAATCACAAAAATTAATCGCAGTAAGATTTGTGAATAGTATCAAAAGTCAAAAATCAAAATATTAAATGTGTCAACTTTAAAATGGTCCAGTCTACTCAGGTAAAGAAGATAACAGAAGGATTGTATCTAAATCTAAAAGCCCAACATGTGTAGCATAAGAAGTAAAGCCCAATTTACCTAAAGGTCTGAGGAATCACTGACCCAGAAAGCTAGCTGCAACATGTTTAAATATGAACATATAGTACATAAAAAATGAACATAAGTATTTTTCTCTTCCTTATATTTTAAGGGGTCGTTTGGTTCGCACGGGGGAATCAGAATGGAATGAACAAAAGGAAAGACAAGGAATGGGATGAAAATCCCCCAATTTTGGGGTGTTGTTTGTTTTGAATAACAAAAGAATGGAATGAATAGTCCAACCACCACACCACCACCACATTGCTTCACTTTCCACCTTTTCCAGCCACCACCCAGCCACTCCACCACTCGTCGCGCCTCCCTCGCCCCTCGCCGCCGCTAGTCGCGCATGTTTCGACCTCCCCTCCCCCGAAAAAACCACCCCTAGCCCCATAAAACCCTAGCCTTGATCTCCCTCGACCCAAAAAACTGTCACCTGGCCCTCCCACCAACCTCGAAACTCTTAGCGGCTAAGGTTTCGAGGGTGGTGGGAGGGCTGGGCGGCGATTTTACGGGGATAGGGAGGGGTTTCTAGGGTTTTGCGGGGACTGTAAGATGTTTTTGCAGGGGAAGGGAGGGCGGCGAGGCTCGGGGGAGGATCGGCGGTGGTCGGGGGAAGGGCGGCGGTGGTCTGGGTTGTTGGTAGGTGTGAAGGTGCTGATGTGAAGGTGGGTAGGGAATGGGAATGGAAATACCTGGGGGGGTGGAGGAATGAAGTTAGAGGGATTTGGGGGAATGAAAAGGGTAAAGGGGATGGAAAAATGGGCTAACAAACAACAATAAAGGGAATGGGGGCAGTTGATTCCCATTCCCTTTGATGATTAACCCCAACCAAACGGCCCTAACTCTATCTCTCTTCTTCTTGCTTAGCTCTATTAATTTCCTCTCTCTTCTGGTGTTATTCTCAATTCAAAATTTCTCTGTCCTTTTTTTTTCCCTTTCCTTTAAAGTTTACTTTATTACTTCCCTTCAATCTTTAAACTTCTTTGTCTTCTCCGGATATTCTCCATTTGGTCACCACCGTAGCATTCTCCATCGTCATCATCTTTGTCGCGATAATGAATCTTGAGGTAATTTAATTTAATATTTTTTTGTGTGTTTATGAATATGCATGTGAATGTTGTAACATTGTTGATTTCAATCAATTTTGCAATTGTGATTAAAAATTTATCATGTTATTGATCAATAATTATTGTCTCTATGATGAATCAAGATTAGATTTAAGGTGGATATTTAAATTTTTAAAGCTAAAATAATTACAATTGAACTTGTGTATAAATTCTGTAAAAAAAAATGAACACGGATTACTTTAAAATTGAACAAGTTTGTACAAAATGAACATTTAGTACATAAAAATGAACATATTTTAACGATTTATTCTAGCTTTATTTTTCGTAAATTTATGGAAAATTTGATAAATACCACCATCTATTGTTGCCAAAATTGGAAATACCACCTCAAGTTTTTTTTTTTTTTTTTTTTTTTTTTTTTTTTTTTTTTTGTAATTTACCACCTAGTTTTTTCCTAAACTTTTGAAACTCCCACCCATTTTCTTAGATGACATCATTGTGGGTCCCACATTTGCGTTTTCCCTCTCTTTCCCCTCTCTCTTCCCTCGATTTCCCCTGTTCCTCATCTTCTTCTTCCCTCTCTTCCAATTTTGTTTCTTGAATTTGATGGCGTGTAGAAAAATTTGCGCAAATTAGGTTATAATTTATGCAATCTAACCTAAAACAAAGTGTATTGATTAGATTAATTAGGGTTTGGGTAATTAATTTGGGGGTTTTGCTAAATTGGACAAATTAGGGTTTATGAAGTTAAAATTGAATGAATAAGTGGACAATTAAACAAGTAATTACCACGAAAACACAATTAAACATGCAATTGGGGGCGAAAATACTAACATTGTAGTGATGATTAATCATTTCGATGATCATGTTCAAATCCAAAAAAAAAAACACCATTACAGCCCATAAAACCAAAGTATTAGTGGTCAAATGACATTACAGACATCCCAAAAAATTATGCAACCAATTGTTCATACATTAGAGAATGACAGTACTAATAAAGACTCTCAATTGTCTTAGATTTTCCCTTCTTAAGTGGAAGCTTCTCTCTGGCCCTGCTAGGAGTTTGTTGCTGCTGGTTCTGACTTTGTTGTGTTTAACAATAATTAAACCCTAATTAACAACTAATTGCATTGAAAAGCAGCATTTATGCACAGTTAGCAACTAATTGCATGTGTTTACTGAGTACAAATTCTAGGGTTTACCACTATCATTTATAAGAAAAAAAATGAACAAAAAATTACCTCGATTTTGTCTGTTTCCTCGCTGACTTTAAACACCAGCATCAAATTCCAGGTCCCCCATCTAAAATGCAGTTGATTTTGCTTGTCAATTGGTCCCCCTTGTTCTTTTGCTCAGAGAAAGTATCGAAAAAATGATTCTTTCAGATAGAAAAGGAGAGAGAATGAAAAATGGGTGTTGAATGTTAGGGTTTAACAATAAATTTGGGTGGGTGAGAGTATAGTAATGGGTATTGAAGAGGAGAGAGATGAAATTGAAAGAGGGAACTTGAGGAACAGGGGAAATCGAGGGAAGAGAGAGGGAAAACGCAAATGTGGGACCCACAATGACGTCATCTAAGAAAAGAGATGGGAGTTTCAAAAGTTAAGGAAAAAACTAGGTGGTAAATTAAAAAAAAAAAAAAAAAAAAAAACTTGAGGTGGTATTTCCAATTTTGGCAACAATTTGAACGAATTTGAACCTATATGAATACATGAAATCATGTTCATTTTAATATATTAAATGTTCATAATATTATTTGATGTGTTTATTTTTTTTTACGTTTTTTTTATACTAAATTATCATTTATTTAATGTGTTCGTATATTTTTACGAAATGTTCATTTTATTTGGTATGATCTAGCTATTTTATGATTGTATAATAAATGTTCATTTCTAATATTCTAAATGTTCATTTTTTTTGCTAAATGTTCATTTTAAAGTCGTGGTCTAACAAATATATGATTATATGTTAATCTTGTTCATTTTAAATAAATGATCATTTTTTTTAATAAC